TTCAGTTTTGCTTAGTCATTCTGCCTAATGCTAGGGGGCACATTCTGTTATGAGCTAATGTTTTAGAAAAACTTCAATAAATAAAATGAAGATAGTACTAGCAAATTGGAAGAGTAAGATGTCAAATGGCCAGACAAAGTATTTAAATATTGATTTGACTGCATGATGTGTAACTATAGCCTTATAAAAATGACTCATGTAAAATGTTTTGGATTACATGTTTGGTGCTAGTGACTTTATTTATTGCACATTTAATGATGTAATAAGTCTATAATTTCGATACAGATCCATTAGGTCAGCAGTATCAAGTACACAGTTTAAAGTAAAAGAATTTAAAAGCATTTGAGCCTTAAGAGGATGAGATTATAAATCTATTATACACCAAAGAGAAAACATTCAGTATACATATGTAATTAAAATTCTTTAATACATTTTATTTTGTAGCTCATCCAAATGTTTCACATTACTAAAATATGTTCTTTCACCTTGAACAGTTTTAATCTCAGTCACTAATGTCCCAATCTTGCCAGGTGTTTAGCATCCTCAATTCTTGAGCACTAAAATGTATCTGCTAATTCTGTCCTTTCAAATCAATGCAAAGAAAGGCTGAACAGCTGCCTGACTAGAGATAACATCTTCACTAGTTCTGCTTTGGAATTCAATAGGTAAAATGTTGGTTGCTGTAGCCCAGTGTATTATAAAAGCACAAAAAGGAATCTTAATACTCCTAACTGAAGTGAACAGCAGGTATTAAGAAGTACACCTATGATTAATAAATCTGGTTATATAATTTTTTGATTAAAGATTTGCGAGAGAAACCTTCCCTTGTTATTTGTAGACGGGAAGTCAATCTGAGACATTTATATAGCTCTTGGCTGAAAATTCTTAAATATGCCATTTTTCCTATCCATGGTTGAAAATAACTTAAAGGACTTACGTACGCAGGACGGCTGGGGTCCTGGGCAAGGGGTTGGGGGAGAGGCGGCCTCAGGCAGAAGGGTCAGGGCTGGGGCCAGACTCCCCCAGCCAGCCCGTCAGCACTTCCCAGCCATGTGCCCCGGGCTCCAGCAGCGATTTAAAGGCATCCCTCTAACATCAACTGTGTACTGGCCTGTACCAGTGGCCACTTTCTTACCGGTATGCCGTAAAGGCTTACTTTCACCTCTGCCTCTATCTCAAATACATATAATTAACCCACAGTGGAATTCAACTATCTCTGGGGTAAGGAGCAGCAATAGCTCATAGCAGCATTACACAGCAGTTGAAGACCATTTGAATTATTATAGCAGATTAAAACACAAACTCTAGGGTGAATTTAGATAGGCAAAGTTTCATTATCCAACTAGGACAGGCCTCTGGGACTAGCACCTTTATTCTTCTGCAAATTTACCATGTGCTCTTTAATGACCACATTTGTCATAGAAAACCTTTGGTAAACTGTCCATCCAAATGGTGGCCCTGCAGATTGGGAGGGAGGTTTTAGAGAGGCTGGAAGTGCTGGACATTTGTAAGTCTGGTCTATGCCTAAAAGTTTAGGTCAACCTAGCTATGTCACTCAGGGGTGTAAGAAGTCACACCCCTGAGAGATGTAGTTAAGCCAACCTAAGTCCTGGTAAAGAAACTGCTAAGTTCTCTTGAGGGGGTGGATTTACTACAGTGGCAGAAAAACCCCTTCTGTCAGTGTAGCAAGTGTCTACACTACAAGCACTGTAGTGTACATATCTTGATACGTTCAAAATGCATGCAGAACAGGGGTTCTCAAACTGGGGGTCGGGACCCCTCAGGGGGTCGCGAGGTTATTACATGGGGGATCGTGAGCTGTCAGTCTCCACCCCAAACCCTGCTTTGCATCCAGTATTTATAATGGTGTTAAATATATTTTTAAAAAGTGTTTTTATCTTAATTTATATGGGGGGTTGCACACAGAGGCTTGCTATGTGAAGGTGGTCACCAGTACAAAAGTTTGAGAACTACTGATGTAGAACACCTTTCTTAAATGTTCATTGTTCCCTCAATTATACAAAAGACTTCTCCTGAATATTTTGGTGGCTTTTTATTATGACAAGAAAGTCTGTGGGAATTTAAAAGATGTTAACACAAACAACTGTACACCTCAAGTTTAAAGTTAACAATTATATTCAGTTTAAATAATGTATTTACTAAAGAAAAACTGCAGAAGGATTTAGAATTACACATTCTAGTCAAATATTTCACAAAATTATGAGTTTTCAAAATTATCTTGAAATAATTGAAAAAAGCAAGGGTAGGTGTAGTCTTCCGATTCAATAAGTGGACTCTTCTTGGACATAAGTTTTGAGTTGAGGGGGCACTGACCACCCACAGCAGCACCCTCATCTGAGCTCAGTGTGGAGGGAAAGGGCTGGAGAGTGAGCCTGCTGGCATTGCAACCTGGCACACGGGTACACAGCACTACTCGGGTTTGGCCCGGCTGCCCTCTATCATGATCGAGGGGCAGCTGGGCCAAATTTGAGTGAGTGGAATTGGAACCCAGCATAAATGATCGCAGTGCCACTCAGGTCTGGTACCTTTGGTTTCATGATTTCTTTGGGTGCAGCTGAATCCCTGAACCCACGCTAAAGCTGCCTCTGTGGAAACGTGACCAAAATGCAATGCTTTTCCAGCCCTTTTTGCTGCAGATAGTAAAGCCATCAGCGTATAAGTAAACACACACTGAAAGTTCTTTAAAAAAAAAAAAGTCCACAAGGCACCAAACTTGAAAATGGAAATAAGTTAGACACAAACAAGAAGAGTACAATAAATAGAACTGAACTCCTCTTCTAGTTTTTTAACTAGAACTATCTGTTTCTGTTCACTACTTCATACATAAGATGCATGCAAAAAAAACAAGACTAGAATTAAATCCATAAGTGTTAAATTGGTATTTCATTGCTAATTACTTGATATTGAAGGTTTAACATTTAACTTGTTTCCTAAATTCCACTGAAAAACACTATTTTGGTTTAAGAAAAAAGTTATACAAGGCATACCCTGAACTGGAAAGGTTAGGAAATATTGTATCCTGTTGTCAATATTTCCCCTGGGAGGGAAAGAGAACAAGTGAGCCCCATGCCTCGCCCACACATCTCCTCTGTCCTTGCAATCCACTCAAAAGCATCTTGCACTCCAAATTTGGACGGCGGTCTGCCTATTGACTACCCCTGCCTGTGAGGGATCACAACCAGAAAGGGGGCTATTCAGTCCCCATTGCATTTTAATCCTTTACTTCTTTCTATGGAGAAAGTACACTCCCTGTCACTCTTTACTGACTGACAGAGAATGTTAATAGGCAGAGATATCTAAAGTTCAAGAATGAAGGTACAGTATTTAAAAACAGAGACTTGGACTGGAGAATAAATCAGTCTGGTTGAAAGTTGTGGTACTGAATTCTCCCAATATTCCTACTGGTAATCACTACCTTAGTGACTGGCCAATGCCAGGAAGGTCTATGTTGTCCAGACTGGTGGATCCCTGACCCAATATTTGTCTGCACTAGGTTTTCACACTGGTATAGCTGCAACAGTGTAAGAAATTATTTGGAAAGGGTAAGCTGTACCACCGCAAGTTGCTTGTTTTTCATACCAATGTAGCTGCACTGGTGGGGAAAATGAAATAAAAACACCATAATATAGATAAGCCCTTGAAGGTGGAATTTCCGACATAGCTAATCTATTTCCCTTTGTCAACATTATTACATTTCTGTTCTATGCCTCCTTTAACAGATTGGCTCTTGATGACATCTTCAGCAAACGTGCCTGGAAGTTCTCTGATGCCATTTAAGCTGCTGGGTTATTGTGGTACTATTTTAAAAAGTGAATTTATCAAAATGTGAGCTTCAATTAAAAAGTTTGTAAGACTAAAGTTACCAGCAGATTATACCAATTAGAAAATGATTTACTTTGTTTAAATAAAAAATTTAAATGGCTGTAAATACTAAAAAAGTTAGATTTAAAAATAGGCTCTTATTTTTATGAATGGTTGAAATTGTACTGCAACGTAAGTACTGGGTACATCAGTGAATTATAATGAACCAATTGAGCATTAGGAGACTTTGAGCATTCATTTTTCTAAAAAGTCTTCTAACTGATATTGGGAATATAGAGCCTTTAAAGAATGTAACTGTGTGTGAAGGAATAAGGGATAACAATCCTCTGGATCAGAATGCCTGGAGCTGGCATGGCTACCTAGTCAAACCACCACCTGCACCTGAGGAAAGAGGTGGAACTTAATTAGCTGACCCTGAGAGAAGAGGACAGCAGGAATCCAGAAAGGGGACTGCAACGTACTCCAGGAAGCTAAATGCCTGGGCTGGTGCTCCCAACGGACTGCCACAGGAGGTACTGGTGAAAGAAATTGTTCCGAAAACTAAATGGACAAGAGGACAGTCCTTGAGGGCCCAGGCTCTGAGGTAGGAGCCAGGAAATCTTGTTACAGTAATTACTGGTGCAAGAGACCAACTGGAGGGAAGACATTGCTATGTTTGCACAGACTTAGAAGTAAGAGTCTGCAAGAGGTGGGACTGTGTTTGTTAAGTAGGCTCAACTAAAGAAACTACCCCAGCTGAAGACAGTTTCCCAGGACTACTTGAGAAGCACAAATGAGGGTTCTCCCACGGGACGGACAGGAGAAAGGAACTACAAGATGGGCCCAGTCTTTTCCCCTAAGAAAGAAACTTCACGAGAAAGAAAGCAATGGGGCACCATTTGAGAGTTAAGACAAAAGAACCAAGTCAAATGACTAATAATATTATATTTCGATTCAGAGGATTGTAAAGCTTGTTGAAAAATGTTCAGGTATATTATTTCAAGGAACACACATTTTACTTTTCAATATTAAATCTACATGGTACAGTTAATGCACAATAAATCTAGGTCATTGCTATTACAATGTAAAATTAAGTTCTATTGGTATCTCTCTCCATAGCTGAGTATCAAACCAGGTAAATACGCCATTAATGTACCCTTGTTTGCTAAAAATCTTACCTTCTCTGGATTTCCAACTCTTCTTGTGATGGGCCATTTTGCACTTGTGGGGGGAGTTGTGAATTCTGTCGAGGCAATGTTGGACCTGTGAGTGAAGATCAGAAGTGAATGTAGTTCAACTTTCAAATTACAAAACGGCACAGGAAAGTAGGACAGAGAACACATGGAGTTACCTATTTTTTTTTTCTTTCTAGCAAAACAAAACAAGCTCCATAACACAATATAGCAAATGAAAACTGCAACAAATTAATTTGTGTATTCCCAGAACAGATTTATTTGAAATGGATGAAAGTTCAACTGGAATGCAAAAATAAAGGTTTTACATATGATGAGACTTAACACTAAACACATGTATTCAATAAGCTTTGAATAGGCTCCCAAATTTGAGATTCTCTGAGACAATAAACAAACACTGTTGGGAAAAGGGGAAAAGACTCAAAGAATTCAAAAACTCACCTAAAAAGAACACTGGAAACGAAAAACAGGAGAGAAAAAACATCAGAAGCTTATCACCATACTGACAGTATGAAGATAAAAATTTGTTCCTCAAGTTGCACTGAAATTTACTTTCCACATTTTAGCTTGTCATCTCAGATCAAATGTAAATTCCTTGGACCGAATGTAAATTTTTTACTAATTATGTCTAACACATTTATCTTAAACTCTGAATTTGCAGCCGGAGCTCAGAACTGTCACTTTCAAGGGACACAGACAACTTTAAAAGTACATTAATTTTTCTTAAAACTTACTGTTAAAAGTAACACCTAAGATTACTGTATAAAGTGAATAGTGAAAAAAAGTCAGTTTGCTTTGTACATTTGGCAACACTTCATATCTAGTAATTTTCACTGACTGCTCTGTATAGTCAGTCGATTTCTTCTTTTGTATGTGTGGGTCTCACATAGCAATAGAAGTGATTAAAATTTTTAAAATAGGAAAGTGTCATTGTAAAACCACAAAATTTAGCAATAGGATTCAAAGTACTATCTTAAACCACTCATAACTTTTATTTTTAAAGCTAGATAGTCAGTGTGTCCACTTAAATATGGTGCACTAAATACCTAGTTTTACTCTGTGGTCTCAATTTTTCTAAGTTCTCTATCAAAGACAAAATAATCTATGTAGGAGTTGGTTTTCATTCACATCCTTCCTCCACCCAAGGGAATGTCCTGAAAGACCTGTCTCATAGCTTTCACTGTTTACTCTGTACTTGTTCTTAGGTTAAATTGAGTTTATAAGAGATTAATAAATATTATATAATATGTGGATTTTCACTACAGCTCCCACTTAAGTAGAAATGTAAAATTATGTATTTAATATGTAATGATCTTAGGAATTGCTTGGTATACCTCAAATTGTGTTCCATTATAAATGAGATGACTGACCTATTTATAAAAATAAAGTGTTCCATGTTTTCCCAAATATCCTCAAATATTTCCTATTTTGAGCCAAATAAGGAATTGTTTTGATTTTGACTTTTGTATGGCAGTAATACCTAGACACAGTGTGACTCCCAATACCACCATTTAAAAAAAAACAAACAAACAAAAAAAAAAACCCACACACACCCAAAAAAGTCTTATTTGCATCATAAGCAGATACACTCTGTGGCTAAAAGTACAAAGAGTACAATATAATTCCTTAGACATGTCTCAAAGGATACAACGTATTGTTTACTAGTTGGATATCCAACTGAGTTTTTGAAATGTGACAGACTAGGTATCATCCAAGAGAAAAAACATTTGATATGAAATATAAAAATAGCAAAGGGGTATTAGACTGTGTGGGTATGCTGTTCTCTAAACTATCAACTAAGCAAGGGAAAACAGATTGCCTTAGGGCCCTGGGGAAAGAGGCTAACCTAGTCAGAGACAAGAAAAGCTATGTAAATGTTAACAGACCTTATTCAATAGGGAAGAAATACATGTGCATGTTATGGAAGGCAGTAGCAGACACTTAGATGCTGTTTTATTGTATATTCACGCTTTAATGTGAGCAAACATCTTTTGATCTGGTCCATGTCAAAAACATACTGAGGGTCCAGAACTCAATTAAAATTATACATACATTAGTTTTAAAAAAAATATAAAAAACATAAAAAGAATTCAGAGTAAAAGCTTACTCAATTGTGTTGTGATTGAGAAAATATGGTTGTCCATATACTGATAGGCGATGACTTCCGGTCTAAAGTGGTAATCAAGGATGTTCACACCTAAACAAAGGGACCTAAAAAGTATAAACAAGAAGGGTACAAGCCAAAGGGGGAGGGAGCGGGGAGGAGGAGACTTTCAGTGACTCAACAAGTGTGTGACTGAGCAGGGTTAGTTGACTTGATGCAAATACATGCACCTGGCTCTACCACTGGGCTTACATCGCTGGTAGCACTGATGCAACTACAATTTTGCTGGAAAATGGGCATAACACTTTTTAGAATAAAGAAATATTAGCAGATTGAGGAAAGCTTTGGGTGACTATAGTGTAAGAAATTGTGGTCGGGGGGAAGCTCCAGTTAGAAGGCAATCATTGCATACATCAAGTATGCACTCTGGTGCATGCATAAAATGTATGGGGAAAATAGGGATGGGCTGGAATTAATTTTTATTTATTTTTTTAAATTATTGATTAGGCATTTTTATGGATTTCAATTCTGCAAAATAACTGAACAAGCCAGATTTGCTTATTTCTCCTAAAAACTCAAAAGGCATTTCAAATGTTGAACATCTGTTTTACATCCTGATCGTTTTAAAGGACATAACAAAAAGCTTTAAGCACTTACAATCTCTATTTGAAAAATAACAAGTGTATGTACAAATTTGGAGTACAATATCTTGTGATAAGTATACTGTTTCTCTAAAAGAGGATTTTGTACAATGATATAGAAAAACAGATGCCTCTGAAGAGATTTACCACGACCTTAAAAGAACAGGGCAATTGTTTAGATAGTGTATCAGCACCTAAATAAAGTGGAATAAACACCTGGAATAAAATGTGTAGGACAGGAGAAGATAGCACAGAAAGCCCACGTTGAAAACATACAGTGGACAAATGTTTTCATTCCTTACTCTTACTTTTTAAAAAGTGTAATTTCATATCTAGATTCTGCAAAAACAGTAAGAGAAGGAAATTCAATGAGATACATTCACTTTTATATTTTGATATTTAAAAAAAGTCACAAAATTAAACAAAAAAAAACCTAGCCAGAAATATTAAAAAACTGGCTGGTTATGTTGAGGCAGCACAACAGGATATTTGCTGAATATCTGGTGCAAACTGAACACTGTTTTGTTTAAAGAATGCATCTGACACCTAGAAGATGGAACGTTTACACAAGAAGGCAGCAGCATTGGTTCTATAAGAGTCAAATGTTTTTCTGGGGTCTGAAAATGTGTTTATTACTACAGTTTTTTAAAAAACATTTTGCTCTAGCCTGAGGTTTTTTAAAAAGTACCTGATGCCAGCTCTACTACTACAGCAGAAAACCCAGTATAGTATTTATAGAGGAGGGTATTCCTGTCCTTCCTGACTTAGTGCCTTATGAATACCATAATAAAAAAAAAATCTAAGTAACAGCTCAGTACATGAACTAGTGCAACTTCTGAACTGCATCTACAGTTTTCCTGAGAAGATGTCTTTTTTCATTTAACATTCATGTTTCAGGTTGCCCTCCAGGGCATCCTGATGTGAGTTTATTTCTGGTATGGGAAATTATTTCCACACAATAATTTAGAATTAATCCATTTGGACTACCTGTACTTGCAATATCTTCATCTCTCCACTCCTAACCTATTAAGACTTCACAATGTTAAAAGCACTTGTTTTTCTGAACAGGTAACAGTCAGCACTAAAGGGATTTGTTTACACTGATAGCAAATATTGGCATTAGGTGAAAATTAACTGGTTCAAGTACTTGAATTCTGTGTCATCTACAAGAAAATCATATCCAACTGTTGTCCAAAAACCCAGTCTCATCCAAATATATGTTTTTTGTCTTGACATAAAAATATTGACAGTACATCTAAGGCTTTTTCTTCTCATGCAGCCCTATATTTCCTTCAAGAACTACTCCATGACAACCTTGACTGCATTACAATGCGAAAGACAGTTCATTTCCAAGAGCTAAATGACCTGAATCCAAAGGTGACTGCCTGTCTGCCAAAAGTTGCATGAAAACCACAATTCTAAATGGAACTGTATGCTGTTTTTGCCAGTGTAAACTGGAAAAAAATTGAGGGGAAAAAATACCATACATAAAACATAGGGACCACATTATGCCTTTCCATTTCTCTCCTTGTGACATACATAAATGGTTTCTTCATAGTCAACGTGGATTACATTTCCTGTACACAAACTTCTATCAAGAAAGAAGACCAACCATTTATTTATTAACAAAAAGCTATGTTTAATTACAGGTAACGTTGCATCAGGATCCACTCCACCAACACAAAGCCTTAAAAGCATAGAAAAGAACAGTTACTTACCTTACAGTAACTGTGGTTCTTTGAGATATGGATCCTGCTTTTGTAGGTAGACCCTCCCTCAAAATTCAAAGCCCATGTTAGCTGAGGACTCCAGAAGTGGGAATGGAGTAAGGGTCTTGGGATCCACACTGACTAAACATCTCTAACAATCACAGTTACTGTAGGATAAGTAACTGTCCTCTTTGAGTATGTGTCAGTGTGTATAGCAGTATCCTCTTGAGCAGTGGTTCCCAACTATGAACCCCTCGGGGTTTGTGAAATATATCAGGGGGTTCTCAGAAAAAAAAATTCTATAATGGCGGACAGAACTGTCCCTAGGGACCCCAGGCGCGGGGGTCGGCAGTCCGACCCCCCTGACCATGACTTCCTGTCAGAACACATTTAAGCTATGTTGTAGTCATGTGTTGTTTGCCTGGACTGCTCAAGACCCAAATGCTTGTGGGAGGAATTCTTTATTTATTTGAGTTGGCTTCTTAAATACCTTCATGCTGTTTCACGTCTGGTACTCCTTGATGAAACATGTAGGAGGTTTAATCAAAGGGATATGAGCTACAACAGTGAAATCTTGGAAGAGTGTTGCCGTTTTCATAATGTAATAAAATAATGT